AAAAAAAAAAAAAAGATTCCTGGCCATTGCAAAGGACAAAACCTCAATTTCAATTTACATAAGAAAATCTAATTCATAAAGTTCTATCTCTAAAAGGAGGAAAACATCGAGTGCACTGATTGGAAACAGCCACTGACAGTGAGTGCTGGCTGTCAGTGGAAGAGTGATGAGTCAATGTCTCCAAGTGAGCCCTCCTTCCCATGAGACTAACAAGGGGATGACTGAAAATACAATAAGTGTGGAGAACTACACATTCAGGAACCCTTACAGGTGACAACCACAGCCCAGACATCATCTCACCTGGACCCTGCTGAGAAGGGCAGGAAAGCATGACTGTGTCGAGTAGAACCTGGTGCAAAGCGGGAAGGGTCGAACACCTATGGAGAGAGCAGCAGGACCAGGATGGGTAGGGGTCAACCTCTGCTCCCATTCCATGAGGGAACAGGACACCCAGAGTTAGGCATAAATGAAGAAGCTGGTCCCGAGAGATCTTCCCATACCCTCCTCCCAGGACCCTCATACCTCTGGGTTTGGCCACACCTCTGGGTTGTGGTGAAGGGCATAAAAGGACAGTGAGACCGAGATACCTGTGGGACAGGCAGGAAAGAGAGAGAATGACCATAGCAAGGGGGGGGGGCCCTCAGCCAGCATGGGGCTGCACATAAGGCTTGGCTGTCAGAAATGATTTTTAACAGTATAATATTATTGTAAGAGAGGTGGGATGGGCTCGGGAAGCCCTGAGTACCAAATGACAGACCGCCATTGCCCCAGGATAAGAGTAGGAAAGCACTGGGCACTTTGAGGTTGTAGTAGCTCCAGTGACAACTTATGTTTGTACATTACTTCACAAGAGCTTTCAGATGAAGCATTTGAGGCTCAAGAAAAGGTGAACTGACTTCCTTATGATCACACAGGTAGTGTGAGCCGATGATGGGTGAGACCTGATGATGAGACCCGATAATGAGTGAGCCAATGAGTGGCCCCCAACTGTGGCGTGGCCACAAATCTAGTCATCAGCTACTCTCTGTCATCACCCTGAGGGCTCTTCAAGACTGGACCACATTGAACCTGTGATTCTGCATTCCTGATCACTCTCATTTACCTCCACTTCCTACCCCTGTCAGAATCTTCTCCAGTCCTCCATGTCTCAGAGAACGAGAATTTTAGAGCTAACATCCTAAGACCACATTCAGAGCTACTAATGTGACATCCATGTGGATAGAATTCCAAGGACTAGGGCATCATCAAACCAACTGTTAGGTACATTATTTTACACGTACCATAGCTGAGGTATCCACATGTCATATCATATTTGAAAGATGTAAAAAAAAAAAATGGAAAAAAATGACCTGGTTGTTAAGGCTAGTAGATCCCACATTACTGACTATGCAGGCTGAGACCTGATGCCTTGAAAAACATACTGGGAATGTGTGCATTTGTGTCCAAAGGCCCAAAAGGACAAAGAGATAGAGGAGAAGGGATTGAGGCATGATCATACCCCATGGGGGTGTTTTCTTACTTCTCCACTCTATCTTTCTCTGTCTCTCTGGTGAGGGTATGTACACAGAGTAGTCTCTGACTACTATAAACTTTGACTCAGAAATAGAAGACAGGAATGCTAGAATCAAAGAAAGTTAGTTGCACTGAAATAAAGATAAACATACAAGATAAGACAATAGATTCTAAACAGAGTGGTGTATTAGTTCTGGGTAATAATGGAAGTGTAGAATCCAATTCCTGTGAAATTACCTATTGGAATGGATCTTGCAGATCATTTAGGCCAACATCCAAATGGAATATCTCGATGCATAGAAAGGGGAACTAATACTTACTCAACTTTTGTTCTAGGCCAGCCCTGTGCCAGGGATTTCATATACCTCATCCTAACCACAAAGCACATATCATTGTTACTGATGAAGAAAGGAAGGTCCAGAGAAGATTTGAATTGTTGAAGTACACCTAGATACTCAGGCCTCATGTGTCCTGTGGAGTGTGTAGGTTTGTTAGTGTTGGGAAGTTCATACCTTTGGGTAAGGAGCGCCCATCAGGGAAGGTGATGGGTTTGCTGAGTTCTCTGCCAGCAACAGGTACTGGAGGGTAGAGTCTCAGGGCCTCCTTGATGCACATGGTGGTGTAGGGCATCTGGTCTAGGTGGTCCCTGAAAGGAGCCTATCATGGGATGTGCCAGGCCCAGGCTGCAAGCTTACCCATGACATAATCTGCAGGGCTCCCCCATGACCCAAGCACTCACTCACCAGGAGATGGAGGTGCCATCCCCCAGGAGGCTCTGGATTTCCTCTCGGCACTTCTGCTGATGCTCTGGGTGAGTAGCCAGAGCATAGAGGATCCAGGAGATGCCACTAGCTGTGGTGTCATGGCCTCCAAACATGAATGTGTCCACTTCAGCACGGAGGTCCTGGTCAGACAAGCTGCTCCCACTCTCTGCCTGTAGGAGCCAGGGGAGAATACAGGCTTATGCCTCCCTCTTCCTTCTGGGAACAGCCTCAGGCCTGTCCTATACATACTCACTTGGGCCAGAAGGAGGATGTCCAGGAAGTCCAAGTGCCTCCTCCCTCTGATCTTCTCCAGCTCTCCAGCCTTCTGCAGTTGAGCCTTCCTCAGCTGGATCACTCTGTCTATGGAAGAACAGTGGTTCCAGGTGCTATTACACCCCCCAGTGGCCCCATCTGTCCCACCTGCCCCCAAATGGGCACCATATAAATCTCATGGTGAATGTGGGTATGGTGCATCAGTCATGATGGGGGCTCTAGCACCGTGAAGCAGCTGTGCATCAACTCAGGAGCATAGTCTGTAGAGCATCTGCCTAAATGCTGGTGTGACAAGATCATAGTCAATAAGACCAGTGAGCAGATACATGTAACCCCTGCACTCTACCTGATTCAGCAACATTGGAGATTCCTTCATCTGCAGCAAAGAAATCCCTAGCCTGACCTTGGGTAGGACATTTAGGTATTCCAACAGACCTAGCTCTGCCTGAGGGTACAGGCCAGCTTCTTAGGGCTGTGCCAGTAAGGGAGGGGAGAGGAGTAAGAGACAGGACCTGTATGCTCATGGGCAATCTGGCAGTTGTGTAGAGCCCGCTGGCCAGCAGGAGTCAGCCTGTAGATGATGTCATTCCAATGAAAGACATTCGTCACACGAGAAAATAATTGGTTTCCCATGTCCCCGATGGCCTGGATGTAGGACTGGGAATCCCTGTGAGAAGATGAGAAATGTCCCAACATGGTGGCGGTGCCTCAGACTCACAGGCAGAGTGGGCTCAAACAGTGGGGAGAAGTCAGACAGAGGCATCTCTCACTTCTGTTCTACGTCCTTTGTGACTCCCTGGTCTCTGTATGATGGCATGAGCAGCCAGGCTATTCTCATAGTAAGGATTAGTGATCCTGTGCAGGACTGGGGTAGAATGTTGGTTCATGTGGAGGTGAGCATATGACCTGCCTCACCTGCCCCTCAAGTGCATCCACGGTAAATTGTAAAAACAAGGACCCACAGCTGAAAGATGATCACTGACCTGTCCAGTTGGCCTCTGTCCTGGTAACTGAAGGCACACTTCATCATGGTGTTCAAGGTCATCATGGACATGTGTCCTAAGATCTCCAGAGGAGTGCCCTGGTCAGTAAGTTTCTCCCATTTGTCCTTGTGGGGCACAGGAACATTGACTTTCTCAATTTCTCCAAGAACTCTGTGCAAAGGCTGTTTTTTCCCCCCACTATCTATATATTCCCATGTGATTTTCTGAATTTATAAAGCAAACCAAGACTCTAAAATAAGTGTTTATAAACCACTGCCTATTTTTTTCACATAGTTTATTTCTTTTTTTCCCCTGTCTTTCTTCCTTTCTTCTTTTTTTTAAAAATAAAATCAAACCTGTTGTCTTGCATTATTTTGAGTTTACTTTCAATTTTAGAACAAGTTATGATGATCATTACCTTTTGGTAGACCAGAAAACATTGTTATGCGGGATACAAAGAATAGAGTAATCGTTTGAAATCTTGATTGCTAAGTTACACCTGAGGGACAGGACCCATGAATCCCAATTTTAAGGAGCAAATATGTCTGGGAAAGAAAAGTGTATGGGACCAGTGTGAGAGGGCCACTAAAGGAGAAAAAACAGGGACATTAATTTTCTGTTATTTATCAGACTTTATTGGAGCCTAGCTTGGTGAGTGATCAGATTCCTCTTTGTGTTACAGGACCTGCACTGAGCAAGCAGACCTGGTGTCCATTTCGCCCTGTGGAGTGGCTCAAATCATTGCAGATCCTGGCTGACATCTTGGGATCTCCCTCACCAATGGACCTGCCACTTCCCAGAGCAAGCTTGTCCCCCTAAAGGACTCTCATCAATAGCAAAGCCACTGGGGCCTTTGCCTAAAAACTTCCTGGGAAAGGGTCTCATTGGACCATCACCAAAGTGATTGCACAGGTAAGAGTTGATACCTGAGAAAAGGAGCTTGTCTGCTCTTCAAGTTCTATGTCTGGAAAGGTAGTATACATGGCCACATTTGCCAGTGTATATATGTCTGCAGACTTGTGTGTGTCTGTCGGGCACATCTCTGTGTGTTTATACATGTGTGCTTATGCCAATGGTCTATCTGGATCTGTATCTCCAAGTGCAGTAAACACTGCGTTTGGGTATGAGGGTCACATTGGTTGGGTTAAGCACGTGAATATGTCTGTGAGAGAAAATAGGTCCTGACAGAGAAGGGTGTCTGAGCCCCTGACAATGGGCATGTGATCGTCAGAGGTATGCTGTGTCCGTCTGTGCCTGGGTATGTTAGTCCATGCAAGATCTGGAGGCCACATGTGTTTGGGTACAATCAGATAGTGTGTGCTGTGTATGGGTGCATGGAGCAGAGAGAGACAGACTTACCAGCATCACTTGGACAGAATCAGCCATGAGCCTCACGTAGGGTTTGAGGATGCCATAGTGGAAGGCTGGGGTCAGCATCCTGCGGCGTTGAAACCACGTCTGACCTTCCAAAAGCACCAAACCATACCCTAGGCCAAAGATGGGTGTGAGGTGTGTGTGTGTGTGTTGGGAGATGGGATCACAGGGATGACAGGACAATATGGGAGAAAAGATGTAGAGGTAATTCTTAGGGGAGAAAACTCAGATGAATACAGAATTTCTTGGAGAAAGGTAGGAGAGCTATTCACATGTTACAACAATGTGAATTTCCCAGTTGGGCTAACACATCTAAGTGATTATACTGGCTGTGACATAAGGGTTGAAAAGAGTAAGGGGCGGGTCAAGGAGAGACTTCAGTAACTGTCTGACTGAGGTATTTGTAGAGAACTAAAAACAGATGTGGAAAGGAGCCTATCAGGGAGCTCACTCCATCCTGTAAGAAGGGATGTGGTCTGTTTAGAAGAAGAGAAATGAGGCAGGATTTAGGGATGGGATCATGACAATGGTGGCCTGTCACCTGTTGTTCTCCAGGAGCCAAAGACATAGCTCTTGGGAAACCTAATGACAAGCAGACAGTTGTTCCAGTTAGCTATACTTACCAATCCATGGGGTTACAAATTTGTGGATATCATGGACCTTTGGGTCTAGAAGATAAGAAAGTGCATTAGTGAGAAACTGGGCAACCAAATAAAGCAGCCTCTAAGCTATGGTTCAGACCATTTACTGCCATCAGCTCTTGAGGTTTGTTTGTTGGCATTCACCTCCCACTTGCACCCCATTCCCTTCTCTCACCCTATCCTGAAGTTCAGTGTACACGGAGAAAGGCAGACCCAGTGTACCAGCAAGATAATACCCACAGGTCCTCAGTGGTCAGTTGGTGAGTAGCATAGCCTGTATCCTCTACACCAAAGAAGGAGACAGAGCCTTTTGGTACCCTAGATATGGCTATAATATTGTTACCCCCCACTCCAGGACAGGCAACAATTAGAGATTTTAAACTCAAGTTAGTGTGGATATAGAATTTATGTCTCAGATTTGAAAACAAAATTATATAAGGGATAACCTCAATTTATCTTAGAAAATAAAAAGCAAAATGAGCAAGATAGAAAACAGTATTTGGCTCTATACCCAACTTAGTACTTAGAAACATTCAGTACTTAGAAAACATAGTTGGCCTTAGGCTGGGTTTGTACTTAATGGATGGTTTATATAAAGGTAGATATGGATGGTTGCCCTGCCACTTTCTCCTGCAGTTCCACAAATCCAGGACTTATTATCAAGAGGGAAGAGGTGCTCCAGCTGGGATGATGATCTCACTCTCACCTGATCTCCCCAGAATCACCTTCATGTAGTCCGGGTCATAGACATGGAGAAAGACCTTGCTCCCCAATAGCCAACGAGGACAGGCACTTGGGAATTTCTCTACCCATTTCAGCATCTGTTGTAGCTCCTGGTTTTTTCGGAACTGTCACAGAAGAAATAATCTGTTAATGATAATGTGTATGATAATATCTTTGACTGGACTAATATACTATGTATTCATGCTGGGAAAATTCATTTTGTATGTTGTAATGATACACAGTGATTGAATGTGAAAAATAATAATAAGAAAATATAGCTTATTTAAAGAATTTAAATAAAGAATTATTATTTAAAGAATTAAAATAAAGAAATACACTCCTTTTTAAAAAATTTTTAAATGATTTCTTTCCTGTGCTTTGGGGGTCTTACTTAAGAAGTCTTTGCCTACCTCAATGTCTCCCAGAGTTTCCCTAGTGTTTTCCACCAGTAGTTTTATAGTTTGTAGTCTTAGGTTTAGATCTTTGATCCACTTTGAGTTGATTTTTGTTAATGGTGACAGATAGGGGTTCACATTCATTTTACTGCAGGTGGGTACCTAGTTTTTCCAACACCATTTGCTAAAGAGGTTTCTCTTTTCCCACTGTATTGACTGGTACCCATTGTCAAAGATGAGTTGGCTGAGTTGGCTGTATGTTTGGGGGCTTATTTCTGGGTCTCTACTCTGTTCCATTGGTCCTCATGTCTATTTTTCGTGCCAATATCATGCTGTTTTGATTATCACTGCTTTATAATATGTTCTGGGGTCAGGAAGTGAGATGCCACCTACTCCAGTCTTCTTAAGCAGGATGGCTTTAGCAAAATGGGGTCTTTTATGGTTCCAGACAAATTCTATGATTGTCTTTTCTAGATCTGTGAAGAACACCTCTTGTAATTTTATAGGGATTGCATTAAACATGTAGACTAATTTGGGTAGAATTGTCATTTTGATTATAATCCCCCAAATAGACAGGTGGGATTACATCAGATTAAGGTGTTTCTGCATAGCAAAGGACACTGTAATTAGTGTGAATCAACAACCCCCAGAATGGAAGAGAATTTTTGTTAATTGTGCTTTAGATAAGGAACTGACAACCAGGGAACTCAAGCAGCTTACCCAGAAGAAAATTACTAATTCAACTAAAAGATGGGAAAATGAGCTGAATAAGCAACTCTCTATATGAAAAAATGCTCAACATCCCTCATTGCAAGGGAGATGCAGATCAAAACCACAGTGAAATACCACCTAAGCCCATTCAGAATGGCAAAATTTAAAAAAACAAATAATGGTAAATGCTGGAGGGGATGTGGTGAAAGGGGGACACTTCTACACTTTTGGTAGGAATGTAAACTGGTCCAGCCACCATGGAGAATGATATGAAGGTTCCCCAAAGACCTTCAAATAGAACTAACACATGATCCAGCAATTCCACTCCTGGGTATCTACCCAAAGTACAGGAGAGCACTCAGTTGGAAAAGCACTTGCACAACTATTTTCATTGCAGCATTATTCATGATTGCTAAGACATGGAACCAACCCAAATGTCCACACACAGATGAATGGATTGAAAAATTGTGGCACATATACTCCATGAAATACTATTCAGCCATTAAAAAAAAAAAGTCCCTAGAGTTTGATAGAAAGTGACTAACATGGAAGATTTGTTGCTCAGGCTATGAAAGAGAGACACTGTATGTCTCCACTTAACATATACCAACTGTCTCTGGTAGAGACTGAAAGACTGGAGAACATAAAAGCATTAAAAATTGTAATGGACACTAAAGACAAAATGGAAAAAAGAGTGTGGCAGGTGAAGAGCATAGGATAGGAAATTTGGGGGGGGGGAAATGGAGAGGTAAGACACTTGTGGGACACAGATAAGGTTTATTATCTGTCAACGAGGATGTGTATAATAGTCTCAACTAGGCTGGACTGAGGTGTATATCATGCTGGGTAAAGTCTCTTCACAATCTAAATGATGTATAGTGATTTAATATATGAATAATAAAAAATAAAAACATTTAAAAATAAAAATAAAAATAAAACAATGAGAGTGGAATGAAAAATTAATTGTCTGTTATGGCTGTAGTAAATTTTCAGATCATTGCTGTTAAAATAAAATAAAATACCTTCTGTTTCTCTCTCTCTTTTTTTTTTTTAGAGCAGTTTTGCTATAGGTCACATGCGCTCACCGGAAAGACAGAGAGAGACAGAGAAACAGAAAGTGAGAAATCAACCCCCAGGGGAGATGGCCATGCCGCAATCCTTTCTTCTCCATTCTCCTCTCAGGTTCCTGGGAATGCACACACACACACACACACACACACACACACACTCGGCATGAGTTTAAGCCACTGGTTCTTTGACTTGAACCATGGTCAGATACGTGAGAGTCCAGTGACATAGTCATTATGCCCCCTTCTGTTTCTCTTTAAAAAATTATTTCTTTCATGAGAGAGAAAGAGAGTAAGTGAGACAATATCCCCTCAGGGCCTTGACATTGTGATCCACTCCCAGTTTCTGCCAGGCCTGGTCTTGGGCATGTATATTCCTGGCATACTCAGAAAGTTCTCTGGTTAGGAAGCAGCAACCTTGTCATGTGGCATTTCCTCCCAGAGGCTATTTTCCCCTCTGTGTCACTGTCTGGCGCCCAATAGATACTTTATTTGTATGTTCAGCTCCCAGAGAGGGTTTAAGCATAGACTGTCCCAAGAAGGGTCATTCTAATGTATTAGCAGAGATTAGGTGTTCTGAACTGTTTGTGATGACCTAGTCTGAGATCCAATCTCTTGTTGTCTCCCTGAGACTTTGACTAATGTCAGAGCGTTTCTATTTATTGACCATCTCTTGACTCCAGCTGGAAGTGCCTTTAGAGCCTTAATATGATAAGTGCTGTGTAAATGTTCAGGAATTGACTCCAGGGTGCACACAAATTTCCACAGATGTACATTAAGGATATGGAACAGTTGTGTTCCCCCTAAAATTACATGTTGACATTCTAAACTTTAATTCTTAGAATGTAATCTTATTTGGAGATTGGTTCTTTCCAGAGGTAATAGAGTTGAAGTGAGGTCATTGTGGCGGGGCCTTATTCAATAATCTTCAAGTTGAAGTGAGGTCATTGTGGCGGGCCCTTATCCAATAGTCTTCACAAAAAAGGAATGATTGAACAAAGTGACATATCTAGAGAAAGGACCATGTGAAAAGAAATGGGGAGAAGAAGGTCGTTTATAAGCCAAGAGAGAGGCCTGGAACTGATACTTTTCTATGAACCCACAGAAAAAAAGCAACCTTGCCGACACCTGGAATAGAAACTTCCAGTCTCCAGATCTGAGACAATAAATTTCTGTTGTTTCAGCCACATAATCTGGCTTTTGTCATGGCAACCCAAATAAAACCAAGCAGTTATGTAATGCTGAAAAAACCTTATCATTAGGGAGGGATAATTCCTTTATCCTGTTGCATAGAAGAATGAGGAAATTAACTTGAAATAATAAGGCCAAGTGAGGTGCACAAAAACCCAACCCTGCTGACCTCACCGTGTCCTTTCCCTGCAACCCAAAGTTTCTTGATGTGCCTCCATTTTCCTGTTTCAACTCAATGTGTTGCTAGGCACCATTTACCCAGAGTCATTCTTTCTTCCTTCCTTTCTTCCTTCCTTCCTTCCTTCCTTCCTTTCTTTCTTTCTTTCTTTCTTTCTTGCTTTCTTTCTTTCTTTCTTTCTTTCTTGCTTTCTTTCTTTCTTTCTTTCTTTCTTGCTTTCTTTCTTTCTTTCTTTCTTTCTTGCTTTCTTTCTTTCTTGCTTTCTTTTTCTTTTTTCTTTCTCTCTCTCTCTCTCTTTCTCTTTCTTCTTTCTTGTTAGTTCTGTGTTCTTAAAGTCCCAAATGGAGCATGACTCATGGGAATCACACCTTATCTTTAAAGGAATGAATAAGTGCATAAAGGAATGGATGGACATATGAAGAAGAGGAATGAGTGAGTCTTTATTAAAATTCTTGTTATTAGAAACAGAAATCATCATGAGCTAGCATAAGAAAAAGGAAAAGGGAAAGCAAGCAGTCTAGTGGCATAGAGGTATCTCATGTGGTTCAAGGACAGGTAGTAGCCAAAATGCAGAAAGGGAAGTACCAGGGACTGAAGAGCTGTCTGGATTCTGAGTCTCTCTTTGTTTCTTCATAAATGCATTAATGTGTACAATAACTATTTTTTGAGCCCTGGTATGTGCCAGGCAGTTTTCTATAAGCTAGAATAGCCATGATAAAGAGAAAAAAACCCTGTTCTTGTATCTTCAGATCATGTGGTAGAGAAGGGCAGCTCTAACCTCCTGCACTGACTGACTACCGTTCTACCACTGGTTGAGTCTCAACGGCACTACTGAATTCTGTTCAGAGAGTCTGATTTTCACAGCATTGCTATGGTGTCCACCTGTTTCAATTTACTATGGCTTGTCTGAATAGGCTATACAGAAACCTATCCATTTGGATAAGTAAGACATCCCAGAATAAGTGAGCTGGGCAGACATGCAAATTGTTTTATGACACTGAATGAGCCAGTGCACGTGTGATTCATTGTGTTATTTCTATTTATTGTGTGATTATTTTGTTTGAATTCCCATCCTAGAACCTGGAGACTCAGCAGAAAACAGATAAGTCCTGTGTCATGGCACTTAGGTGCTAGTAGAGGCAGGACAGAAAGCCTGCCTGAACTAGACAGTGTCCCACTGGAATTATTTAAAGAGGTTTCTCTATGCTCCCAGGTCATATCCATCATTAGGTCTTCCCTTCTTCTTTTACCACATGTAAGGACTAGCCAATGGGAACCTCTGTCACTACACCTATAGAACTATCCCCCAGTATCCCCTTAGCCAGCTCAGCAAGAGTTGGGAAGTCTGTTTTAGCACTGCAGGATGCTTCCTTTCTCTTTCTCTCTTTCTTTCTTTCTTTCTTTCTTTCTTTCTTTCTTTCTTTCTTTCTTTCTTTCTCTTTCTTTCTTTCTTTTTCTTTCTCTTTCTTTCTTTTTCTTGTTTTGTTTTAGGTTTTTGCCATAGTGCACATGTGCTCACTGGAAATGAAAGAAAATAGGAGGGAAAGTGAGAAATCACCCCCAGTGGCTTGGCTATACCCTGCTTACTTCTGTATTCTGCCTTTTGATTTTGAACTTGCATGCAAATGCGAGTGTGAATTTCAAGCCATTTGGTCCAGGATTCAAACTGCAGTCAGCCACGTGGGTGCCCAGAGCCTTAAGCACCATGCCACCAATTGGCCCCAGTTGGGTTTTGTGTGTGTGTGTGTGTGTTCCTCTTTTAGAGGTTTTTGCCTTAGGGCCTGTGTGCTGGCCAGAAAGAGACAGAGATAGAGATAGTAAGACGAAAAGTGAGAAATCACCTTAGAGAGGGGATGTCCACAATGCAATACCTTCTCCTCCCTTCTCCTCCTGGTATCTTGGGCACATACACACAGGAATCAAGTGTGATTTTCAAGTCACCAAATCCAGGACTCAAACCAAGGTTGACCACATGGGAGTCCAGTGATGTAACTGGTATGCCACGTGCTGGTCCCTTTGTGTGTGTGTGTGTGTGTGTGTCTTTTAACTGCTAATGTGTATGCTTTCCATAGAGATACACAGGGACAGAGAAAGAGAGAAAAGGGGAGAACACTTTTTCTGATGGGGCGTGGCCACACTGAAATCTCTCCTTTATATTTCTTAATTCTCTCAGGATTTCTGGCATGCACATCCATATGAACATGGCATGCTTTTTAAAACTCCATTGCTAGGATTTGAATCATGGTTGATCAGAGAGATCCAGTTTCCTTAACCAATAAATAGGCTATGAGGCCAACCCTAGCATGTTTCCTCTCTGGCTAAGATGCTCACACCAGTCAGCTCTCTGCAAATCCTGCTTCTGGGAACAATCATTAGTGTTCTTCAGGAACCCTACAGGGCTAACCCATGTCCTACCTACCCATTCTCCACTCTAACTACTCAGGTGCCCCCTAGCCTATTAGATCCTCAGTAAACCTGCTGGGGTTGCCACCCATTCCTGGGCAGGTCTGGCCAGAGACACCTGAATCATTGTGGAGAAGATGGTCCCCTTAACTTTGTAAGCAAATATCCAGTGCCCACCTCGCCTCCCATGCCCTGGCCACACCATGTAGGTCATGCTCCAAGAAGCTGTTCTCACCCAGATGCCCCTGGGAATTGCAGCCACAAAGGAATTTCCCCAATTAGAGGTGTGTGTGTGCGCCTGCACTCGCCCGTGCAGGGAGTAGGTGGACAGGTAATGATGGAGCCTGCACTGGTAATCATGAGGTATTATAAGCTCCACCAGACTAGTAGGTATGCCTGACACAGGAGGAAGGACAAGGAGATGCATGGAACTGTTTGGGTTATTTCAGTCCGAAGATCCTGGGTTCTGTATTTCACAGTCTCTGTCAGATTTCACTCTATTTAGCGAGGTATGTTTCTTAAGCCTACAAAGTGCTTATCTCTCATAGGCATTAGCATTACTATATCCCAAGCTTATTTATTCATTAATTGCATGAGCAAGAAGAAGAGAACAAGAGAGAGGGAGAGAGAGAGGAATCTACAACAGGGCTTTACATTGCAGTTCAGCCCAGCCTAAATCACCTCCAGACTCTTGGCTAGGTTTGGCAGCCACAGGAAAGTCTCTGGATTTGAACCTGGTAACTCCCCACATTGGATTGTCTTATTGAGTGTTGTATTTTAATGCTGCACTATCCTCTGGACCTAAAACAAACATTATTTTTAATTCATACAAATGATAGTGAGTACAACCGTGTTCTTTGTTCTGTACTGGAAACATCCTAAGATTATCATACCTCACTGGAGTATTGCAATTATTATTATCAGTTTCTTTGACAGGTGAGAATACCGAAGTATGTGGTGGGTATTTACAATATGGCAGAGCTAAACTATGAATCTAGGGAACCTGGCAAAAGAGATCATACTCTTCATTGGCCTGAAATACGAGCTTTGCCTAGTACAGGTGACATTCTAGTTCTTTACTTAGTTAAAGATAGAAATAGTTAATAAACAATATCAGAAAATAGTATAAAAGCCAGCAATATGTGGCTTTAGTGCCTGTTGGGCAAGCAGAGGTTGAGATGTTTCAGCACTGAGAATTGTATTATTTACATACTACAAATGATCTACTTAGTGAATCTCCCTGTCATCAAAAAGCCACCTATATAATAGGAAAATCCTTGGAGGAGCTTTCAGTGATTCCTTATGTCAAATGCAGGCTCAGAAAAGTGACCATTACATTCAACAAAATGTCACAATAAAAAATCTCAAAGTCAACAGTGCCACAATTTGCATGAAGAAACGGCTGGCATTGTCTCCCTGTGGCTGCTACTAAGGCTCCCTACTTCAGCTAAGCTCTGCAGAATGGCTTGGCCTCCTTCTTCAACACAACAGAGGTCTTAGCCCTCTGCAAGTCCTCCTCTGCAGATGCTGTTGAAATAGCAAACCTTGGTGGTCCACAGCCCCAAAGCCATGCTGTCCCCACACCCAGTGCTGGAAGTGCAGGAGGAAGGGTCTGTCTGTCCCCTAGTCCTGAGCTGCTGTTTTCTCTCCTTTCTCTTTCCACACACCTGAGCCAAGAACCCTCTGTGCCTGCTCTGTGCTGGAAACTGGCAATAGGACTGGATGATACACTAGACTCCCATGGTCTCTGAATCTAGGGTATGCAGGAGGAGGACTTGCAGTAAACAGACCCTGTTTAATGGGATAACTCAACACTGGCATCTGTAACATTCAGGACATTGACAAGTCAACCCCCTCAAGTGCCAATTAGAGTCAGCTTTTAGCACTGAACACACTCATTCTGGAAATTTGGTCATCTCATGCAAAGTGAGCCACTAGATAGATCCCCAACACCTGACATCACCCACCCACCGCAGCAGAGTAACTTTCTGTGGCCTGGGTTCTTAAATTCCAACCTATGGTCTCGGGCCCCTGTGAACCTCACATGACGAGGATTACACTGATGTCTACATTCTCAGACAAACTTGTCCATGCAGAGGATGAAATTGAGTGTCTGAGGAAGAAAAACATCTAGAAACCTTTATCTTTGAGAATAGCTGAGGCTGCCGGGGGTTACTAGCCTAGATAAAAAGGAACCCAGGAAGAACCATGGATTGCCCTCCAAGGGCAGGGCTGCCAACGAAGCGTCAGCTCAACTTGAGGGAGGAGTGTATGACAGAGCTGATTAACTGCAGGACGAGCTTCTGGTAATGTAGTGGGCTCCTTGTTGCTGGGATAAGCCCAGACCTGGGAGATAATTGGGTGTGCCTCAGAGACCACCCGCTGTACACACAGCAGGCTTTGTCCTGTGGACTTACTGAGTAGCTTCTGAAAGTACACGCCCCCTGGCCTTCCCTATTTAATACCTACCTCACGGTTGTGCCCATAGAGCCAGTGCGAGGGAGGGGACGGGAACTGCTGGAGGGCTCTGAGCAGCCACTGCCTGTGCAGGTAGAACTGGGCTGCCTTGAGCAGCAGCAGCAGCAGGCCCAGCAGGGAGGCCCCTTGGAGGAGCCTGAACAGGCCGCCTAGGAAGCTGCTGAGGCTCAGCAGAGAGACGCTCATGGTGCAGTGGAAGACTCAGGGCCACTGATCGCGCCTGACCCTGACAGCCCCAATACCTGCCCAGTGCTGTGAGGATTGCCCCACCCACTTATGGGGAGCAGTGGGAGGGTAAAGTTTGAACTCAGTAACAGGGTGATTAACCCGAGATCCTGCGAGGGAAACAGGAGAGGAAAACATTATCAGTGGACAGTGGTGATGGCTTGTACAGGCCCACATTCTGCTCTCCTTATTACGCACAGGTATTTCATGAACACCTACTATATGCCAGGCAGTGTGCAAAGTGGCAGCACACAGCCGCCGGGAGAGCAGACATGATCCCCAGCAACAAGGAATTCATGGCCTAGTTGACCAAATGCTCAGTATGTCTAGCTCATTTTATTTTTACCCTAGAAACTGAGCACTGAGAAGTAAAGTGATGTGCTCAGAGGCAGACAGCCACTGAGAGGTTGAGAGGAATTAGTCCCTGTGGGACTCCTATGTTGCCTTCCCAGCTGCCTCTGAAATGGTCTGGGCTGGTCCCATCCTCTGCTCTGTACAGCCCAGTGCCTGTGCTGGTGGATGGAGCTCAGGACTTGGACTCGAGGCTTGATCAACTGGACTGGGAAGAAATGTTCACATAATGAAATGTTCACTTTGTAAGCTAAACAATGTGATTGAATGTATATAAAAAAATATATGTCAAATAAAAAAATTAAAATATAAAAAGGGGAAGAAAAAAAACAAGATATGCAGTGTTTATTACTAAGCACTGAATTCTTAGTTACTAAATTTAAATCTACGTGTGAAGAGCATGAGCAAACAAGACAAATTTTGAGATTTTTATATGTATATTAATATGTACATATGTGAAACAAAACATAAATGAAACTACAGACAAATATTTCAAGGAAAAAAGAGGCTCGAGCCTCAGGCTCACGGCACAGGGAGCCAGCAGCTTGTGCCCTCTGAGCCTCAGCTTCTTCTTACGTAAAGTGGGTTAGTAATTCCTCTCTTCAGTACCTCATAGGACTCTCACTCTTTTACTCACTCACTCATTCAGTGAATATTTTTCTCAACTCGCAGTCTAGCGGGTAAAAGCAGAAAGTAAATCAGTAAATTAAATATAATAAGGCTTTCCTGCAAAAACTGAAATGCCCACTCTGGGAAGAACACAGCTTAGAAGAAAGAAACCAACCAAAGGTTAGAAAGAAGAAGAATCGTTGGGTCTTACAAGAGTTCACCAGGTAGAGCGTGGGAGGTAGTGGAAGGGACATCAGCAAAGTCTTGAGATGACACGTGAAGGAACAAGGGAAAGGTCCATGTTCATCCTCAAGTCCCTGCCCTCACTTTTCATGATTATCTCCCATCAGATCAAATCCAAGGCCCAGAATTCAAAAAAGAGATGTTTCAGAAAGTCTCACACCTGCCAGCCCATCCAGAGTAGGAGTATCCTCCAGTCCTGCTCCTTCACCCACCTAATGTCTCACTCCCAACACCCTCCTCTGCCCAACCTGCTGACCAGTCAATCATTACAAAATCCATAGGTCCAGAGTCCCATTCTTTCCCCCTAAATCTTGGATTGTGTTCAAGCCACAGGTAGGGGTACATGCAATCACTCTCGCCCCATTCCACTCAACTTTGCTCTACTTTGTGGTTAATCTTCACCCCACATCCACCACCATGGACTCTTGGCCTCTGAATCTTTCCAACCTACGTTTTCTCAGCACACGCTTTTCACCCCCAGTGTGAGGGTATTGGGGACAACTGCACAGTCAGAAAGTCTGGCTTGGATTTCTGAATATAATTCTTTCCTCCCTGAGTCCTCAGTTTCCTCTTTGTGTTTGAGCTCCTAATATGAAAACAACTGCCTTTAGTGAGCATTTACTGTGGCCTAGCCATGCTTTTTCACACAATAACCTAAAAGAACATTTTTAAAAGGATCTCATACTATAGATGGAAAAGAAAGGAACTAAGAGGTTCATGGTGTGTCCACAGTTTCCTGTTGGTAAGGGGTAGAGCCAAATTCTGACGTAGCCACTCTGGCTCCAGAGCCGTTGCAGTTACCCATTCACATTAAGAAACATATGACTAGGTGACCTTTCATTTTGTTTGGTAGCCCCTAAACTTTCCAGGGACATTATTTTGATTGCTCCCAATAGGTGGTCTGTCCCTAAACTTTCCAGGGACATTTTTTTGATTGCTCCCAACAGGTGGTCTGTCCAGAATATGAATACCCTCCAGCCCTGGTCCCTCATCTACCTAATGTCACACTTCTAATGCTTTGCCCTACCTGCGGACAAGTGAGTCATTACATAACCTGTAGGTTCAGAATTCCATTAATTGTTTTCTCCTAAGTCTTGGATCCAGAATAAGCCATAGGCAGGTGGGCATGCAACCAGGAGAAATTTCCACAGCACTATCCCTTCACTTCCAGTCCTCTCAGAATTTGGGGCACTCAAGCACACATACTTTATGTTCTTTTCCAGCCACTGGGCCTGGGGCTCAAACCATGTAGCCATCCAGGTGGGATCCAGTGCCTTAACCTCCATACCACCTTCTGGCCCTTTGGATACCATTTTTACAAAGAAAAAAAAATATATATATGTATATATATAATATTTAATATT